AAACAAGTAATGATTGATCGATACTTTGTTAGTGATACTAGTATTTGATTGGTTTAATAAATATTATAAATGGTTGTTATATAATCTCTATAAAAGAACACCTCTACGATAGAACATAATTTGGCGGTCCCGACTGTGTTCTTTTATGGAGGGTTGACTGTATTGTGAATTATAGGAATAGACGTATTATAACAAAACGTATTGCGAGAAACGATAATTTACGCTTTTATGGTTTAACGTCTGATGAACTTCCATGTCTGAGACGGTAGAGCTTTTTCGTTAAACATTCACCATCCCCAACTGACCCCCATCACATTATTGTTTTCGCTGTGATATCATTACCCAGTTATTAAACAAAATTCTGATATAACATATATTGGACCAGTAGTAGTTGTCTCTGAGGACCGCAGCTTCAAATGGAAGAAACGAAATGCTTTTCTAAAGAAACTTGCGTTGTTGAAAATAAGACAATAATAAGTTTGAGCTACACTCGGTTCATGTATAGAGGATAACTTGAAGCGTATGCAGTTTTTGGTAGCGAGAAACATAGGAATTGGGAAGCGCAGCTAAGGTCGAAGGAAACTCATAAAACATTTAAATAGTTTTACATTTTCTAGTTGTTATTAAATACGTTCGCTTCTGCGTATTTTTTTTTAGAAATGTCAAACTTGATTAAATTTATTAACAAATAAAATTGCTACCTCAAAGTATGACTGTATTATTAGAAAATCTTTAACTCCGGTAAAATAAACACTAGTCACTGATTTACGAACTGTAACCATTTTCTGTTTGTTAAGCAAAATACCGGGTAAGTCTATTTCTAAATAGGTTAAGGCTGCGGGGGCGCAGCTATCGTGATCGGAATGTTGAGCACATTGAAACGAGTGCTATCAGATGTGCCTGTAAAAAGGAAAAGTCATGAGTAAGCAATGAAGAACAAATGCAACATTTGCGACTGACAACATAAATATACTTAGAACCGACCGAAGTTGTAAAGCTGACGTATGCCTGTTTGATGAGAACCAAAAACAAAATAATTGAGTATAAGTTTAATAATTTCAATAGAAAACTTTCATTGGAACAAGGCACAAAAGTAAATCCAAATCTCGAAAGTGCTACTTACGGAGAATAAAAGGACCGTAACCGAGATTCATGGTGTTAGGCGTGGTTTTATCAAACACAACTCGATATGTAAATGTGCCTGCAGTAATTTGCTTGTTTATGATTCCAAGGACAATTTCCTGAGGTTTTTGCTGAGCTGGCAATGCAAACGTATCAATAAGCTCGCAAAAAAGTTCGAGAATTTCAGGACCTTGTTACGAATAATGATAAAAAAAAAAAGAATGTTAACTTTAGTTTTACAAAAGATGCTGGCCCCGAATCGTGTACTGGTTTTCCTGTATACCCGACAATGACAGTTAATTACAATACAATCATACCCTGTGGCGCTTGGGACTTGATCTTAAGCTTAATCGGTTGGCCGTATGGAATCACTGCATTAGGCTTTGGTTCTAAGACTTTGACCTTGTATAAGGGGGCAGTAGGAGTAAAAGCAAACACGGAGCAAGAACTGCATAGAATGGTAACCAACAAAAGCAGAAAGGCAAGGTGGGTGTAGCGTGCCATGCCGTTTAATGAATGTAATATGGCGTGTGGTTACCGATAGTCGGCTGAAAGAGGGTAAGGAGGGTAAGGAGGATAAGGAGGATAAGGAGGATAAGGAGAGACGGGTGAATGGAAGATTGGAAATCTGCTTTCGGCGAAATGGGACGAGAGCTCGAGGTCTTAGCTACATGCACTATTTATGAAGAATTCTTGCCCAACCACTAATTGGACCACGGAATAAATATTAATATTAAATTTAATTATTTTTAATACAAGCATCCCCTCGTGCGATAATCCTGCCAGAAAAGGAAAAATGCGTAAATCAGTTCAAGTAATTTTACTTTGTGCTTATGTAACAAAGAAAAATAGGATAAATTTGAACATTGTTTGCCCAGCGACGCACCAAAAATAGCTTGGGTTCAAGATAAAATTAACATGCTATTTTTAGTAAAGTCGCAATTCCTGCATGTATAATTGTTCACATTAAGTATAAACAAAATTTTTGATACTATACTTGGAATAAGCGCGAGAATATCGATCAGTCACAGATAACCAGAGTTTGTTATATCAATATACAGTAAACTGTTAATTATTTTTGACCCGAATTAGACGAGATTCGTTAAATGGTCAATAATCGTATATTGGAAGTGTGGTAATTATTTTTATTGTGTAAACATAAAATATCACTCACTACCGTGCTATATTAAGACTCCCGCATCTAAAAATAATCCCGTAACTGTGGTTGAACCCGGGCATCTTACGTGGGTTAAATCTTGCGGAACAAAGTTTACATTGTAACATTCAAAGACCGTATTAACCGTGCAGCAAATGAACAATATTTATTTATTCAACCTTTGTGGTATTTGCAACATTGTTTTTGTGTTTGGCAAGCGAAATATAAATGTATTAATAGTTTAGTGTGTGCAAAAACGTTGTATACTGATGTTTGAGTGTTAATTGACACCAACATGTCGATAATTGAAAGGATGAGGACAGATAATTACTTTGTTGCGCAGTAGAACCGAATACAGTATAACGATGTTGTATGTCGGTTTGGAATTTATGTCCATTCGGAATGGACATATGTCGGATTGGAATTTATGTCCATTTGGAATGGACATGTATGTCGGATTGGAATAGTAAAGACAACCAGGTAACAACATTATAAAATCATTTATTGGCATTATGATATCAACC